GATGTGCTGTATTTCTCTGTTTGTAGTTGTTTAGTTTTCTTCGGGTAATATTGTTTTATCATGCGTATGTCCTCTCGTCCTGTCGTGGGTCTGTCTCGGAAAGTTTCCAAAAAGCGAGCAGGCCTATATCTCATACCTCAGGCAATCGTTATATTGGACCGGCAAAGAAATGTTTGTTTCTTCGTGCCATTTCTTGGCATCTCAACTAGTGGATCAATATGTACACATAATTAGACAGGCATGTTTTGCAATAGATTGCTGCAAATTTTTTGTTTCTTAGGTGGGTTAATGACCGAGTTGTCGTGGTGGATGTTGTTTGAGGATTATTATAACGCGAGCAAAACCCAGACACGAATTGTGACTGGAAATATCGACGCAATAAAAGGTTTTTTTATTGAAAACTGGTACCCCCTTTTAAGCAATTGCCAAATAAACACGTTCAAAGTATCAGTGAACGAAATATCTCAACATGAATAATTTTTGCAATATGAATAACCAGATTCAGTTTTTCCAAGTTGGGCAGCTGCACGCCAGGTAGACATGAACCAACGAGCTTCTTGTTTACTTTCAAAATGAAACAGCTCTTCAACAAAAGTTTATATTCGGAAGCAGAATAAGTATCAAGTAGACTTCTTGATGAGTATGCTAAGAGGTTCTCGCTGGAATAATTTTTTAGGGTCAAATCATTTGATATAGGAATTCAGCAATGAAGCAGACAGCAGGTTCACGTGATTTCAGTCGTTAACCCATTTTTTCGTTCCTGGGGGAAGTTTATGAAATTTGACTTCATTTCTTATCATTCTTGGCAAGATAATAATTGCACACTCCATTTCCCAGTTTTTGTAGATAAAGTATTTTATATGTAAACCATGGCATAAATGATGTGAATAATTTCTAGTCTTTCAGTTTCAGCTTTTTTATTTGTTACCAGTTCTATAATTTAATGTCTATGAATTTGGAAATATTCCCTTGCAAGGTTGTATTCATACAATTTTTCCAATTATTTTTTGCATTTTTCCAAGATGTAAGAAAGCAAAAAACTGAAAACTTGACTTCTAATCAAAGGCTCTCAATGTTGAAATTCTCTAAAAAACTCAAAACTAAAAAACAGCTAAAAATTCTCATTTCATCATTTTAGGCTAGAAAACTTCTAAACCATAAAAATTTGCAATATCCTTTAAATTTTGATATGTATATTTAGTTGCATTGGTCACATTCACATCTAAAAGACCAGGTAGATACTACAGCAGTGGTCAAATCTGTTCATACTTTTTTTCTGTTATTATATTTAGTTATTTGTACTTCTGGTAATGAGAAATTGTTTGATATACCATAGATTGACAAAACATGGTCCTGTTTCAAAGAAAGGGTTGTATTCATTTGTGATTAAAACATGCAGTTTTCTCACTTAAGATAACACCATTGGTTGTATGTCCCCTCAGAACCAGACTCTCTGCCAGTGCACACCCTTGCAAAGCAACTTTCCCAAATCATGAACTCCATCCTATTGCTATGACACATTAGTTCTTGTTTACTTTATCCACCCTAGATCTTGTAAACTTTTGGAATGCACTATCCCCTTCCTGTTTCCCAGCCTCTTACAACCTGTCTTTATTCAAAGCAAAGATAAATATGCTTGACCTTTTACTCCCTCTTTTTATAATCCCACCTCCCTTTCTCTTGACAGGGCTTTGTGAAAGGCTCTTGGGTTTTTCCCTCAAATCACCAACTAGAAACAAATTTTATTGAGATGACTACAGTTTAACAGTTTTCAATTTCATAATGATGGCAGATTGTGTAAATCACCAATCAAATACAGTGGACAGTACTGGTAACAGTCACATAGAATTTAGACCCAAAAAAACAAAGCTGTTGAATTAAGCTCTGTTTAAAGTCACACTCAACTTGCTCTCACACCTTTAAAGCAACATTGATGTGACTATATCTGGAGTACTGTTTATTTAGTCAGTGACATTTCATATAATTTGCTAAAGCATAAACTGGAGG